GAGTGTGCCGCTTCTGCGGGTGCCGGGGTGTCTCCTGCCCGATGGCCGCCCGGGGGTGGTGGGACAGGAAGCTGCAAACCGCCCGCTGCGGCAGGCTCCCGGTCTGCTGAAGGCGAGCCGGGTCAGGGCAGCTCCAGGGACTTACCCGAGAGCTAATAGAGGGGAAGGAGGTGGAAACCCCCCCAGTCGCAGGGCACCTCCCCAACTCACCAGAGCTCTCCCTGAGCCTCCCCCGGTCCCGCTCGCCCTGTGCAGCTGCCCCTAGCTCCAGCACCTCCGCTGAAGTCTGTCCCGTAACCCCAGGCTGCCCCCAAGCCCTGTAGCGAAGGCCGCAAGCTGGCGCTCGAATGTGCATGATTTTCCCTTAACATGGGTGCAGTTAGCAGCAGTGCGGGGAAAAAGCGGCATCTCCAGAAGCCCCTGCAGAAGCAGGGGGTCTGGCCAGGGACGATGTACGGTAATAACAGTGGCTGCTTCTTCTTTCCCTCTCCCAGAGGCCGCACTGAGGACATGGTTGTCCATTCCTCTCCTGGGGATGCTGTTGACTGCAGCTGGCTCAGGCTTGCATGTGCTGTCTCTGCCCAGCCTTGCTCTCCTCGCAGCGTGGGGGCGAAAAGGAACAGGTGGAGCACTTGCTGGCTGTGGACAGGAGCTGCTGCAGCTGAAGCTGGAGAGGCCAGAGAAAGGTAAAGAAGAAGAAATCAAAGGCCATCTGGCCAACAGCTGCCTCCTGCTGCAGGCAAGAGAAAGCCTGCCTCTCTGGGTGAGGAAGGATCCTTCTTCGCAGTCTGCAGCACATCATGCCGCCAACGTGCACCGCGGGGTCTGTATGTGTCACCAGCAGCATGGTACAGCCGCGTAGTGCGCAAGCAAGCGAGGCTACCTGTCTCGGAAGCCTCATCTTGTAAGAGCTGTAAGACACGCACGTATCCTCTTAGGTGGAGGACAGCCAAGCAACTGGAGTCACAGAAGAGGAGGGGAGGAGAGGAGAGGAGAAGGAAACATCTGAACTGGAAAATTCTCCTGGCAGCACTGAGGGCGAGAGCTGTAGTGAGTCCCAGGCCCTCCCTGCCCCGCCATTGGCCCCACCTCTTTCCCACACTGTTGTGATTTTTTTTTTTTTTTTTTTTCTTCCCCCTCCTTTCTATTCAGGCTTTTTAAATAATTTTTTGTTTGTCGTCTTTAAA